CCCATTTCCACGTGACATTAAATATGAAATATATTCATGATCCCATACAGAACAGTATGACACTAATAGTTTCCAGTGTCACGACATGATAACACTTCTCGACTTGTGGCGATCGATACTATGATAGCCGTACAGAAATTAGCCTCTCAAGCTTTAATAGCACAATTCTCTGATAGTCGCGTGTTCATGAGCTCAAATTCATTCGGTTAGTTTGTTTAACTGTGAAACAAATAAAGAAGATAAATTAAGTTTAAATATAAGTAGTAAAATGTGAGTTAGCTGCTACGTTATACGTGATTTTTATAAATGTATCAAGCAGAACTTTTTTATCAAGAGAACAATTTAATCTGGCTGCTGTATAATTAATATTATGCGTTTCATTCTAATAATTCATGATTTTATTAATATACTCTACTCATTTTGTACACACATACGAAACATATCGCTGATTAATAAATACAGAACAAAAAAAGAGAAGAAGATATATCTTTCTAGATATATTAAAAGAAAAAATTAAGCGGTAATTCATATTATTACAGTGCATATTTTCAAAATAATTATATTTATTATATTTATTATATTTATTATGACAATTGATGATGTAACAATATATATATATACAATATTTGATTTAATATCACGTAAAGAAGTGAGTAATGAGTCAATTGCCATTTTATCTTATTATATATTATCATATCTCTGCGAAAAAGAGCTTTATACGCAGACAGATCATGCATTATTCTCTTCTCTCATACTTTACAAGTATAAAATATTTAACCTCCATACGTGTTAACCGTCCATTTTAACGACTACGGGATAACGTAATTGACAGCGCCGTCATAACGAACGGTAGCAAAAGTGTTGTCATTATAAAGTTTCGCATCTTTTGTCTACCGGCAGTATTCATTGTCCCATTAGATGGACGATTTTTATGTAAAGGCCTTATGTTAAAACTGAAAAATAAGACTCTAAAGTTCTCTCTAGAGAGTAGCCTTTTGTGCCATAATTTACAGTAAAGTTATAGGCTCTTAATCTACTTGACAAATGAGAATAACTTGAGATTTAACTATTAATAGATTAATCAATATTAATTAAAAAGCATATATACATTTATACAGAAAGATGGATAGATCGTTCCTTTATGTCGTGTTTTTTATCGTTTTTTACATAAACATTTCCAAGATTTGAGAATTCTATAAACGTTGCAAATTCAAAACGAGCGAAATCAACGCTTGATGCCATTTATAGAAAAGCCGCCTAAATGGAATAATAATAATATAAATATTTAAAAATAGAATTTGAAAAAAGCGATATGGACCCTTGGAACGTTTAGAATAAATCTTGAATAAAGTGATGAATTTTTGTTAAAATAAACAACGAATATGGAAGGCGAACATTTGGCACGTTTTTCTTACTTCGTAGAAGTAATTATCTGTTACTTTTTTCATCTGCACGTTTTGTTGTTTAGCGCCAAAATTACGTATCAAAAATCGTTTACCTAGCCATCGCGTTTTCGACGGATCACACTTTTCTCAAAAATTTACACGTACGAATTATACAATAATATTACTAATGAATCAGTAATATTAAATATGAGATAAATGAAAAATTCAGTTAAAAAAACGTGAAAGCAAAATTAATATCATACAGTTAGTAATAATACATTTAAATTATTTAAACTTATGTAATAACTATATGAGTCATTTTCTAGCAGTTCTTTTATGCAATTTATAGATTTTGGAGAAATAAAAGTTTCAAAATTTCAACATTTATTAACATGTCAATATAAAGTGATAGTAAGGTGTTATTTACTGCTATTACTTTATACTTTGTAACGCAAAGAATTTTTGTGATATCAATCAAATATTTATAATTCGAAAATTATTGGAATTTCAATAAGCAAAAATTCGACAGTGATTGATCGACAATGATTATTTATAATTGTTTTATTGTGTTGTTTTAGTTAAAAAAGATTTTATTTTCTATCTTTCTTTGAAGCATATATTGATATTTCTTTATCTTCTTTATCAATTTCTTCTGAAATTTTTATCGTGATATAAAATGAAAGCTGAAATAAATGGAAAGCCTTTTGCTTGACACATTCTAGATCAATGCGGATTAATTAAATAAATAAATCAATGCATTACATTTTTATATTAGAATAAACCAAGAATAAGATCACGTACATGAAACATATGAGCTGCATATTAAAGAAATTAATATGACGTATCTGTTTGAGTAATGTTTAAATGTTGATTAGAGAGGCATCTCTATCATACAAATCAATCAGCATAGTCATATAACGAAACTGCCAATAAATTTCATATGATTGCTCACGCGGTAT